CAACCTGTGTTTCCTTTCACTGGTCCTTTTTTTAGTTTTGGAGCTCTAATTTTAAGACCAGGACTTATTTCTTTCATTGTCTCTGATTCTAGGGACAAAGTGTGTTTCTTTGGCACTGCTTTCAGAGTCAGGGTATGCTTCTTTGGTTCTAGATTTAGGGATAAAATATTTCTTTTACTAGCTCAGGTTTCAAATCCTGGGTGTGTTTCTTTTACTGAATCTGGATTCAGAGCGGCACATGCGTTTCTTTGGCTGACCCTTTTACCCTACACAAAAACCTACAGAATATAGCATTTAAAATAGGCTTTTCTTGACATTGAGACAGGTCTGCTCTGGTCAGCACTGACCTACTTCAAAAAAGGATGATAGGCATCAAAGAAATTCCATATAGCGTTTGCTTTATTTAGGCAAGAAACTGCCCTTGCCTCAACTGCTGACAGTATGCTGTCCCAACTGGATGAGCAGGTCACAAAGAAAAGTGACTGCCAAACTTTATCCAGACAGGGTAGGATAGTCCTTCAAAACTTTCTGCTTCACAAAAATGTCTGTTAGATATTCTACACTAGTAGGTTGAAGGTGGATGCCCCAACATTACAGAGGAACCCTGGGGTGACTATTCAGGCAGCCAGCTGTTTCTGTCATTCCTCTTAATTTTTGGAAGTGGATTGCTCTGCACTCCCTGTTCACTAAAGTAATATTATATCCTTCTCAGGTCTTTGAGGGGGTTGAAGACTAGATAGTTAAGTTACAATTCTACATAATCACAGTAGGAAGTAAATTAGGTATGAAACTTTGGACTCCCCAGGAGAGGACAACTGATGGGAGTATTTTCTCTATTTTGCCAAATAAAAGTAGACTGGCTATTGTAATTCTTATTCAATAACTGTTCTGTTGTGTATAATTTTGCTATGTTAAAGCTAAAACCTTCCTTTTTAACTAGACAAAAAGGTGGAAGTATGAGACATTTCTTTTACTGTGTGAATATATGTCACTGTGATGGGGTTAATAAAGAAACTGATTGGCCAATAGCTGGACAGGCAGAGGTCAGGCAGGACTTGCAGACAAAAAGAAAATGCAAAGGGGAAAAGGGGAACTGGAGGAGTTTTAGGGTAGATAGGAAATATGTGTTAATTTAATTTGTTAGAGCTAGTTATTAACAAGTCTAAGCTATCTGCTGGGCATTTATTATTAATAATGTCTCAATGTGGGTATTTGAGAGTGGCTGCCGGGACACAGAGAAACTCTGCCCACACAAGTCTGTGTGACATTTTCTTGATTAGTGATTGATCTAGAAAGTCTTCACCCACTGTGGGTAGTGCCATCCGAGGCAGGTGGTTTTAGTGCGATAAGAAAGTAGGCTAAGGGGCTGGAGAGATGGCTCAGAGGTTAAGAGCACTGGCTGCTCTTCCAGATGGACCAGAGTTCAATTCCCAGCAACCACAATGTGGCTCACAACCATCTGTAATGACATCTAGCACCCTTTCTGGCATGAAAGTGTACATGCAAGCAGAATATTGTATGCATGATAAATAAATAAATGTTTTAAAAAAGAAAGAAAGAAAAGAAAGCAGGCTGAGCTGGGTGATGGTGGTGCACCACTTAATCCTGTTTATGAATGCCTGGCTTTAGCTTGGCTGGTTTCTAGCCAGCTTTTCAAACTTACATTACCGGTTTCTTTTTAACCACAGTTTGCCTCTGGGCTTTTACCTTTCTTTATTCTCCATGTTTTTCTTTCCTTCTTACTCCATGGCTGGGTGTGTGGTTGGGTGGCTGGCCCCTGATATACTCCTCTCTTCCTTTTCTCACTATTCCTGTTCTTCTCCCTCAAGCCTAGATTTCTCTTCCTACTTATTCTCTCTGCCTGGCAGCACTTATACCGCTCTTGGTGATTTCTAAATTAGACTCACTATTAAGAGGATAGATTGAGGAGGCAACTGTGGGGGGTGGGGATCCCAAGGAGGAGAGGAAAAGAGTCCCTCAAGCATCAGCTCAGTGATTCCTAGCTTAAAGTTCTAGAAAAGTTACATGTGAGTCTGTAAAACAGAGTATAGTCAAATAGTGCTTTTAAGCACATGTTGGGAAAAAGTTTGTACATGTGTTTTGTGTAATGTAGATGTCAAATCCCATTTAAACAGACAACATCCTTGGGAAGAGCCACACTTTAAGCAGTTAATATCATTTAATGGATTTTCAACTACTGGCTGAGGTAATACATAGTTATTAGTAGAATAAATGGTTAAGATTTCCAGTCTGGGTGTAAGCATTGTGGCAACAGCTCTGATGGGATGGGAATACTGAGTGTTACAGCTCGGATGGAAAGGTATTCTGGCAATTGGGAGCCAAGGAATACCACCGGTCACAGTAAACATAGCAGCTTACAGCCCTACTTCAGAGAAAGGCTTCCCCAGTATAACAGTTCTGCTCCAACAGGGGAGGGTTTCCGGAGAGAGGAGTTTAACAACTTTGCTTCTCCAGGGGAAGGTTTCCCCAATGAAAAGTGGGGGGTCCAGGGTCGTCTCTGCTCCAGCAGAAGAAGGTCTTCATCCAAACCTCATTCAAGAGACTTATTGGGAGGGAAGAATCCAGGAGAAAAGGGCAGCTGGGCAGCTCAACAGCCACAAAACTTAACAGGCACAAGGTTTATATAGGGATTCTTAGGGGGCAAATTTTTTCCAGGAAGACTTCCAGGGTGGGGATTGGCCAGATTTCAGTCCCTGAGCTCATATTGACTGGATCTCCTGCTCAGGGATTGGTTAGTTTTCTGCACAGGTTTAGGGGCAGATTTGGCTCTGATTTCAGGGCCGAAGTGTGTTTCTTTCACTGGTCCTTTTAGCCTTTTGGCTCTAATTTTAGGGCCAGGGTGTATTTCTTTCACTGGCTCTGATTCCAGGGCCAAACTGTGTTTCTTTGGCACTGGTTTAAAGGTCAGGGTGCATTTCTTTGGTTCTGGTTGCAGGGCCAAAGTGTGTTTCTTTGGCTCTGCTCAGGGCGTTTCTTTGGCTGGCCCTTTTTCCCTATACTGGGGACTGGGAGAGGACTCAGTAGGAAAGGCCACATGCTGCCAAGCTGGATAACCTGGGTTCGATCCCAAGACCCACTTGGAAGGAGGGAAACTGTCTTCTGACTTCTAAACATGTGCCATGGCAGGCATGCCTCCCTCCAATAAGTAAATGTAATAATTCTTTTAAACTCCATTTTTGACCTGGCTTCATTTTGCCAAAGTCTGCTTGGTTGGTATCTGAGACAGAAGACTTCTCAGATCTTCTCAAGTCAGGGCTCAACTTTTTGAGACATTCACGTTGTATGCATCCCAAGCTGGATTCCAACTTCTGCCTCAACCTCCCAAATGCTCTGATTACAAGCAAAGCTAACCCAGGCTAAGAGGATAACTTTGATGTGAACTAAATAGTAACAAATTCTGGTGTTGTTTTTCTGTACAATATAAAAGATAAACATCCCTCTGTGAAGGCACAATTTTTTTGGAAGCAGACAAACTTTATTTTTGAAATACACAGGAAGCACAGACACAATTATTCAAAGTCTTTCTGTCTCAAAACTCTCAGCCAGTTTGAATAAAAACACACTAAATTAGTTTGTGTTCTTCAGGGCTTATACTCTTGGAAGTTCTTGACCCGGAGTCTGAAAAAAAATAACAGCAAGTCCATCTCCTGCTCACACAGGTGAAAACCAGCAAACGTTTGTTTGTTTCAACACGTATTTTTTTTTTAAAAAGCATGCAGAGGGGACAAGCAGGGCCTTCTGTGGAGCACTGAAATTAATGATAGGACGACACCTGCAACAAAGCAGCGAGCAACGGTGGTGGTAAGAGTCCCGTCCCTTGGTTTCCAGTCTAGCTCAGAAAAGACAGGGCTTTGAGGTTTCCAATTATCTTTGTGTCCTGGCTTTCTCATCTGTAAAAACCGTTATCGGGGGAGGAGGGATCTAAAACCAGGCGTGGAGAAACAACTTGTAAGCCCCTCTATTGCTAATTCGGAATGTGTCAGCCGTCAGTAACGGCGCATTAGCTGCCATTCACGGGGTGGGGACAGGGGAAAGCTTCTGGACTTTCTCCTCAGCCCAGGGGAGGAAAAAGCAGCAGGGTGTTTTTAAAATAGGAGCACCGCATTCTGGAATTCTTTCTGTCCGTGACAGCAGTAACCTTGGAAACCAGGCTGCAAACACATCTCAATTCCAGAGCTTCCGAAAGAAAGCTCAGCTTCTCCTGCTTGCTTTTGGCGTTGTCTGGGCACCGCTGATTTGTGGGCCTATGGTAGTAACTGTGTCGCTTTTTCCACGCCGTTGGTGCAAACAGGAACGAGCAGAAAACCCCTCTAGACACCTCACCAGAGCCTTCCCTACTAGGTGGTAACAATCCCGGGTTTCATGACAGACAAAACTGCCCAAGGGCAGCCCTAGAGCACGCTCTCCCTAGATCGGGCTTCACAGGGGCCACCCAGGTAGCAGCGGCGGCAGCAGCAGCAGCAGCAGCAGCAGCGGGCACACCCACCCAGGTACGCAGCGCCACCCCGACACCGCAACCGGGACCCCAGAGAACCCTCGCGAGATAGGACCGCAAGGGGACGAGAGTAAGCCCACTATCTCGCGAGAAGAGGGGGCGTTCGGCGGAAA